GCCTTTAAACAGACGAGCATCCAGTGCAATGATAAAGCCTCCGAGCAGCCCAAGGCTCCCAACACTTCAAGCTGCACAGCTAATAGATGCTAAAAAATAAATCCTATCCGGTAACAGCACCTAGAGCTATACTTTGCATGCTTGAGCGTATTTAATTATCTGCTGGTGTATTTTTAGCACCAACATTTTGCACTAATGTACAACAATCCCAGAGTAACAACAGTGCGACACAGAAACTAGAAAAAATGAATGAGGTGCTGCCGTCGTAAAAGAAATAAAGCTGGAAACATCAGCCACCCTCAGTAAAAACTCTAATATTTGTGAATTACACTGATGCATGTTTTGTCATACATGTGCATTTATATTTAAAAGAGTCAAAGGAGCTTGCAAAGAAAAGCGTCTGGACTTCTTTAAGTTACTTGAAGACGTTTCACCTCTCATCCGAGAAGCTTCTTCAGTTCTAAGGTCAAATGGTGAGGTGCAAGCTCCTTTGACTACGATGACCTGGATGACTGAGAACCTTCACAGATATATTTAAAAGAGTTTGTCTGGACCGCCCAACATTAAACTATCGTATTACCACAGTACGTGTTCCTGTGTTTTTACAGCTCCACATTCAGACCTGAGTGAATGCAAAGAAACGAGCCCACCTTTAGATTTATGGGACAATAACAGTGACAAACTTTGCGTCCAACTAACTCCCGGCAGTGAGGAAACTGCACGTAGAGAGGGAGGCTTAGACTCAACACACAGTTTAATCTGTATGAGTCCAAAGATGTGATATCAGAATTATAAACCAGCAGTCAAAATGCAACAAAAAGCACAAAGCAAACAAAGATTCAACGTTTCTACAGTCTGGAGCTGCAAATTCTAACCTTTGAAAACAGCAATGAATGTGAGATTTAAGCATCTCAGCTACTCAGAAAAAATGGTTTTAACATGTGTGGGTCCCTGACTACTGGGCAACTACTTCTGCTGACATCTGAAGACACAATGACAAAACTCTCAGACAGCTGCTGGAACCTTAAACAGATTGTTGTCTCAACAGCTAAGCCAGAAGAGCAAGTAACAGCGTACCACAGCTCAACTTAAGATACTTAAATTTTTAATAATATCTGAAAAAAAAATGCGAAGGCCATGACAAAAAAACAAAACAAAAAGCAAACAAACATGAAATAAACAGAGCGCAATACCTGATCACAGAGTCTGTGCGGTTGCAGCCCGGTATAGACGAGGCCTTTTCTCCCGGTGAGCCGAGGATCTGCAGCGTTGTATTGATATCCACCTCTGTTGAGTGTTTGATGGAGAACTCCATCACCTCTGAGGGGATCAGTGGGGTTTCACCCTGAGGATCGTCTGCTAGTAGATAACCTAAAGAGCACAGACAGGTACAGGTAGCCACGTTGAAGCCTGCTCATTTTACTATGAGGGTAAAAGTGAAGTGAAGAAAAATTAACAGTTTAAGCTCTAACTTTGGCTTTTGTTTCATTTCCAGTCTTCTATGTTTGTAACTGGAACATCTTTTGCTCTTAGACTGTTAAAGGTTGGACTGTGATATATTTGCCAGAACATTCAATTTTTTTAAAGATGGAGTGTTTAATGAACCTTCTGATGAAATTATAACAAAAAAAATAAATGATTATTTATTGTGTCAGCCCCATAGACTCCCATGTTAAATGTTCTAACTTTACCACAGAAAAAAAAAAAACATGTTTACAACCTGACACAAGAATACCATTTTGGTCTCTCCAACTCATTCTTCCTTGATGCTAACAGTACAGGGAATACATTTTTATATACCCGACTTACGCTGTAGCTGCTTTAGCTAATAGGTGCACTGAAATAGGTCGCCTTATAAGGCAGTCACCTTCATTAATCAAATGACTGGGGTCTTAAAATGTGCTTATGGTGTTGGTTACGACCCTAAAGCTAAACTAAAGCTGTCAAAATGCAAGCTAAACAATTAATTAATTTAATTAAAATTAATATTATAAATAACTGCGAAGTAGCAGCTATTTATCAAAAATAAAATATGAAAACGGCATTGGTCATGTCAAAAACAGGCACAGCTCTACTTTCTCAGTGCTAGGGTGCTAATTGTTTGTAATAACTGAAAAGAGACAAATTTAGTGCAAAAAAAGTGTTGCATGCATGAAATACACTTACTCTGAACTCGTTTTAAATTTAGATTTGAGAGAAGAAGAAAAAAAGGAGTCTCCTTTTGGGACACTTGTCAATCCTGCCTGAATGGTAATACAGAGAAATTCACAATAATGGCTGCAATATTTCATTAATTAAACCCACAGACTGGGTGGGGTTCTGTTCTTCTGTCCTACTAACACATAAAGCCATTAAATGGAAAAAAGCTGCACTGGAAAAAACATTTATGAGAACTTATTAAACAGCCATATTCTTTTCTACGAGAACATCAGATGGCTTCTCATTTACTTTCTCAAAGTGTATTCAATACTATGTGTGCATGTATTATTTTTGATCTTGGGAAGTTTGCACTGAACCCCAAACACTGGGAAACTACTCTCTACTCTCAGAAACAACCACCGTGAGGTAATGCAACAGTGCTGGATTTACAGTAACTGCAGGTTCAGAGAGGAGGGGGAAACTGTATAACCACACACAAACGCAGTATGAGTCAATCTGTTTTTCATAATATTTCTGTCCTGCTGCTGACCTGAGACCAGTATGAGCCAGTGAATGTCCTCATATAAGTCATCCAGGACTTTACGGTCCACTGATCCAAGGTCAGACGAGGCCATAAGGTGCTGCTGGGTCCTCTGCAGCTGGCCGTGCAGTCGTGTTACTCGGTCCTCCAGCAGGCTGCAAACAGGTCAAAATGGAAATATAAAAATAGAAACACAAGCAGTGCAGCACTTAAAAAAAAACTAAAAGAATACAAAAAACTAACCAGATAAAGAAACAATCACCAGATCTGTAATCTGAAAGAGGTCACACCAGGTCGAGCTGGTAAGCTGCTGTGTGTTTACCTTGTGAGCAGAGGGATACAGTGGTCAGCTGCCACACGTCCCAACATGCCAATGCTGGACAGCTGGTCTGAGAACAGCTCTCTGTCGTCTTCCTGCAGCTCGTTGATCTCTTCCTCATCGTGAGAGGAAATCCCGTTCACCGACTGAGCGTGGTTCAGGAAAAGTGTGAGATAAATAACATGTTGATGAGTCCAGTGTTCTTCGTGTACAGTAAAGAAAAAGGCTCACCAGGTTGCGCGTGCCGTCGGGAGCTGCCAAGTGACACTGGATGTATGAGTTGAAAACTTGGATGGCTGGCTGCACGAAGCACCCGCGAGGGAAATGCTCCTCGTCCTGCACGAGCGTTAGCCACGACTCCAGCAGCTTGTCATAGGCCTCCATGTAAACCATGTCATCCTTATCCAGCTGAAATTTATTATAAATTCATTTTAAGCAAAATTGGAAGGCCTGTGAACATTTATTACCGCAAAGTGAACTCTAAAACCTTTCTCTGAGAACTGGATTCGATGAAGAGGGGTCGAAACTCACCACTTCCTCCAGGGCGGCGCTGCGTCCAAACGAGCAGGTGAGCAGCGTGAGGCAGTTGATGAAGGAGGTAAAGAGGTCGCTGGGCAGTGCCGTTAAAATACTCCGTGGGAACATGGTGATCAGATTGGAGATGATATTAGAAATGCCGACTGCCTCCGAGTCCTCGATCTCAATCCTGAGAATGAGGATAATAAACTTGATGAGCTAACAGAGCTACAAATATGCAGCAGATTCATCTTTAAAGCCATAAATCAAGGTTTACTGTATCTGCTGTGGGAATACCAGCAGAAAATAAATGAAAGTAAACGTGATGCACATTTCAAACACTTTCAAAAAGCATCTGTTTAATTTTCAGTTAAAATCAGTGCTTTGGCCCAAGGAAGGCCAGTTTCCACTCCACAGGGTGAGGCTGAGGCCGAACTGGGGGTCACTTTCCGAGTTTCCCTGCTGGTGACGGAGGTTTGGAAACACACATGAAAGTTGATCCTTAACCAAAACTCGTGGGCAACTTGACCCCTGAGCTGTTTTCCACAGCTGCATCGGAGGTTATTTTTATAGTGTTTCAGCATCAAACACCACCACGCACGCACGCTGCAAGAATTCAATTTCAAAGAGCATTTTGTCATCAGATTGCACTGTGAAGCATGCCGTGACGGGACACACTGGAAATCATACTTTCCTCACGTGCTGAATTCTGAAAATGAGATTTGAATGGTTTTAAATCAGTTTAAAGTGGGGAGAAAAAAGGACACGTGATAATGTCTTATTTCAAAAGGTTGTCAAAAAGGCAAAAACAAAACAGAAACAAAGGCCTTTAAAATTTTATTGTGTGTTAAGAATTTTGAAACTTATGGCTGGCCATTTATCCAACTCTGAAATATGTCCCATCTTTTATATGTGAGTTTTATGGGGGAAAAAGAAGCTCCACATGAACAACATAACTGATGAAACCAGGCTGGAACAGTTTCTCCAAAAATAACAAAACTTCCTACTTAAAAGCAATACTTCTCTACTTAATAACAATAATATAGATAAAGGTGTTGCAAAGGGAATTTTATATACAGTATCTTTTTAAAACAACATCCTCGTGTCAATTGTGAGCATGACACGAGGTACTGTACTGATGTTAAAGAGTTTTTGAAATATTCTGATAATATTTAATAATTATATCTCAACCAAATCATGTAGTGAGCAGGACATTAGACCCTCGTAAACTTTACAGTGTACAGACATGCTTGGCTTGCTACCAACGAGTGTGTTGGGCCCTTTATACCATGCTATAAGCTTTTGCTTACCCGATGTAATAAATGTCCAATTAAAGTATAATGAAAAGCCGCAGCGCCACTCCAAACCACCCTGAAGATTTCTTTTAATCTATTTGCACCTTCCTTGTGTTGCCTTTGCATTTGAGCTGACACACCTCTCCACACTCAGACCAAGTCAGAGAGTAACATTGTTAGAGAGCCTAGCCAAGGCCTCTCCGATGGACTTAAATTGCGAGCAGAACCGTTCAATCGATGTAGCTCGGCCGTCCCTCTCCACATGGTTTTCCGATGAGGCAACTGGAAAAAAGCTCCAAGAATAGGTCATTACAGTGAGTGAGAGTTGCTGAGAGGAGGAAAAAAAGAAAAAAGATAGAGACCCCTCCTCACTTGGTCACATGGTTCAACAGCGAGCATGTGTGTGCATTATGTGTCTGATCTGCACATACAAGTGCACCAATTTAATTCACATCAGAACCACAGTGACCTCACATACACCCACAATTAAATAGAAAACTTTTCTAGTATACTGTTTCAGACCCATGTATCACTTTGATGCAAAAACATTAAAAACATTACTGTGTTAAAATTCTTTTTTTTATATATGGCGACTTCTATTAATGGTTAATGCTAACATAAAGAGTGCAAGCCTGGTTACTAAAATTACCACCAAACTAAAGTATTATTCAGTATAAATATAGAATAAATGTAACTAAGTAAATGTGGGTTTTTTGTATGAATTGATTTTAAGCTTGTTTGGGCTAAAAACTAAAAAGTGATAAGCTGAAACTCAGTGAACCAAATGCTGACTGAGGTGAGTAAACCTATTCACATCGATCTTAGATTTCACGTATTCAAATATTAATCAGTGCCTTAAAAAAAAACAAAGTATCTGATTGACACACTTTGGTATTAAAGTCTTATTAAAGCGAAACACTTGTGATGCAATTTGCACAGAAACTCAAACCAGCAATTACAGTAAAAAAAAATCAAATAAGCTAAAGCAAGAGTGTAGTTTTTAAAAGGAGTACAGGGCTTGGAGTGATTCCACTGTTTTGTAGCCAAAACAAGTCAAATCGAGGTCGAGGTCCAAACATATCAGATTTTTTGCCAAGACATAAAATCTTTAATTATATTCTAAAAAGACCTGGAAGAGAGGCGGAAACCTAAAAATAGGAGTAACTGGATCTCATCTATTGCCTTATTTATCCTCTTATTGTTAAAAGCAGCTGCACTCTGAACCAGACTGCACTTCATTGGAAAGAAGAGAATTAAAACAGTCCCGGCTGGCACAACGACAAACCTGAAACCCTTCCTGAAGCTCATCGACATTCTGAAGGCCGCTACAACTCAGAAATTTTTATTCTGGAGATTTCATCAACTGATAATAAAATATAAAACCTTCACTCATTTCGTTTAAAAAAAAAAAGAGGTCCAAATCTGGGTCAAAATTATTTCTCACAAAGGGCTCAGTAATAGTTTGAAATAACTTAAATTTCCCATCAACGCTCGCTACAACACGAAAACAGGTCCCATCTTCATTGAAACATTCAAGCATTTAACCTTCTCAAAGTGATTTAAATTGGGCAATCAGGCTGCAGGCATTTTTAGGGTTTTCAGAGAGAATAGGTTGGGCATCGCTGACCTAAAGGTGAAAGATCCAATGCTAAAATTCTGATGAGGCATATTACCCATAAAAACTAAACTATGCTAATTATAAAAACCTCTTGATATCTAATATTTTGAATTTTCCTAGAGAACAGCTAGAGTACTTGAAATTTACTAGAGAAATATCCTATTAAAACATTTATTACCATATCCTATTCACATTTAAGAACAAACATAAGTCAAGAATATTTGAATTTATAGGACTCTCACAGCTTAATCACATGTGTCCTTTAATAGTTGTGGAAATTCATTCTTCCACTTGACAGTTTTTCTTTTTATTATAACATTATAATATAATTTTTTTTAAGTGCCATCAGTTTTACAAAGTGAATCTGTTAAGAAAATCCAATTAGAAATCATCAAAACGCTGTTTTAGAAAAAAGGTTTGACTGGAAACATTTTTTCTAAATGCTGCAGTTTATAGATAGTTTTCATTAAAAACAGTCTGATTAAAGTGGAAGGTTGAAATCCAAGGTTAATCCAGCCAGGATGCTAACTAAGCGAGAAAAAGATGAATCAGTAGTTGAATTATCTGCAGCGATCGTTGGGTTTATCAGTTTGTTGCAGAGAAGATGAAGATAAGAACTACGTGTGAAGGCCACTGTTGTAGGTGAAGGATACATATTTGATCATTTTTGTTCATATAATCTCTAATGAAAGTATACGAACTGATCCAAAACATAAGAAGTAATCAGGAGTTTGGTAAGATCCAGCACCTGTGTTACGCACTCAGCAGTGTGTGACACCGGCTCTCCTACACTACAGATCCACTGAAACAATCTGACTAAAAATGTATTTTTTCTAGAAAAAAGAAAATGACTTCAAGGTTGTTCCAGTGTGCGGATTTTCTCGTTTGCATTTTGAATCATAATCAATTAGGCAAACAAGGAATTTGAAGACAACACCTTGGACTTAATGACTTAATGTTTTGGTTCTCTGTCATTTTATAGACTGATTACATTAATATAAACTGAAGAAGTAAAAACAACAAAACAACTATTTATACTGGGACAAGGCTCAGACTGCCACTGGTTTCAGTCTGAAACCCAGCTTCAGCTTCTTAACCAGTAACTCTTGTCCCACCCTGCTGCTAAAAGATGGAGAAGTAACCTCTTTCAGTGCATCCTTCCCAATCCCAAAACACACTGATTGGCTGAACCCAGATGCAGAGACAATCAATAGCCTCGCAATATTCACCACAAGATCACAAGCTCTACACCTTCACAGGAGCACTGCTAACAAGCAGGTTCCAAAACAGGAACCCCAGACAGAGGAAGTGCTTTGGTTTCCACACACCTGCCAGCACAATTCATTGTGACAGCTGAATAGAGTCAGCCAAGGAATACAGCATAAATTAGAATCTGCTTGCATATACATTGGTCTCCGCTTGGAGATTAAAGAGGGCTTTTTTTGTTAGATGTGGTCTTATCCAAAGGTAGACATACACACTCGCAGGTTACTCTGGTAATAAATCCTTGAAACCAGACTCCCAGATTATTTTGTTAGAGAATGTCACAAGGCAAGCGCTGCATTACCTCTGACTGGAAGCTCTGGTTACGGAGTCATGACTCAACCAAAATTACAACCCTATAGGATGTGGCTGGAAACATCTGTAGTAAAAAGGCTGAAAAAATGTGAAGCACTGAGGCAAGCACTGGCTTCGAGCTGAGCTCCAGGAATGAAAAACATGTATAGACTGCACTGATAATAAGCTGAACGCTGGAACACTCAGTTTAGTCTAGTGGAAGCTGCGCAATATTCTGGTGCATCTCTTTCTTTACAACTAATGAAGACACAGTACTTCTGACAACAGAGCAAATGCTACCTCCAGCTTTCACATTAGCAAGCAATAGTAAAGACATTTCGATTATAGAATAAGATGCTCGACTGTGGCTGACCAAAAACCTTAAAACAAAAGCTGCGTTATCTCACCTCTACACTATGGAAAGTTAATACTAACATTCATATCATAAAATTTGATTGAAAAATGTGCTGTTAAAAATTAAAATCAGGCTTATTTTCCTTTTTACATGATGTATCCTTTTCGTTTTAGTCCTCTGTTCATATTTTGACTTCACGCTCTCATGTTGATGGGTTGGATCGGTTAATTTAATTTAAACATACAGATAAAGCAGGCAATCTGATTGAAACGATGTGCAAAATCACTCAAAATAGTCGCATTTACTACATATAAAACATCCACGACAGCAGACGTATCTTCTTACAGTTCATATGGTCTGTTGTGATTTACATAAACCCTTTTGTTTGCTTGTACTTAGTAAGAATCAGGTTTTTCAAATAAAAACAAAAGGTTTTAAACTGTAGGGAGAGAGATGCTAAAAGGGTTTCAACACGAGCTGCCCAGCTGGAATAGGCAAGCAAACCACATCAGTTTTATTACAGGGTCAGGCAGTTCTGTATTAGATTAGAGGAAGACTATAAAACTGATACAAAAAACACACCCATACCCGGTATTTTCCAGTGTTCGAGAGCTCGCTAATGTCAGTTTTTGTCTTCTTTGGTTAAAAACGTGTCTCCGTGAGAAGAATAAAGGGATAATTTAATCCACTTCGACGTAAATTTAGTTTAAGAGGAATCTGAGAAACATAAGTTACTAGTTTGCTGCATTTGTCACTGAACTGGAAGCCAGTTTCCTGCAGAGCGCGCAGATGCTACAATCAGAGGCTGTTAAAACAGAGACTCAACAAGCAATTACTTCCTGTAAATAAAGCACAAATGGTACAGTATGAGTCACGCTTCTGCTGACGTTGGCCTCCATCACTTGTTGAGTCTCTAAATTTAAGAAACATGACAACCTTGAGATACTGGGGGGAGATAAACAGCTTTTGAGGCTGTCACCAAGGATAATGTAACGACAACAGTGGTTGCTGCTACTGTTTTGTGCATAATGTGCTGTATTCAGCCGAAATGAACGCATTTTAGATGGAGTATTAAAATTAAATCTGCAGAGTTTCAGCCTTTGTAACACAATGCTCTTCCCAGTTCTCTCCTGGTTTATCTGCTTAACCATCTGTGTGACTGATGTAGATAAAGGTAAATAGCTTTTACACTGTAGACACACTTTATTAATGGAGCAAGACAAAGATCATTTGTAAACTCAGTAATTCACCCTTAGATGATTTGAATGCTTTTAATGTGTGTTAATGTTAATGCGTTTTTTTTTTAAGTTTACATATTTTTGGAAATGCACGTGCACAATAGGAATTATTTAATAAAAGGAAACATCATTTAGTGCAGCTCGTGGTCAGTGTGTATTAACCTTGCGATCTATGGGGAAGCTACTTTAACATGAAGCCTACAGCACAAAACTTACTTATTATTGATAACAACGCTCTGTGCTTAAAATTTAATGCGGAAAGAGTGGTCACCATAGAGACTGGCCCAACTTAATGTGGTTTACATTCAGCAGCCTGCAGCACCTGATTAGCAAGTTAGAGTGCATAATTGAAAAGAGTGCATACTTTGCAAAATCTAATGTGTTTTAAATGGCAAAGCTAACATGCTCATCTTAGTAGGTACAATAATCACCATGTGGAGCAGATTAGCAAGCATGCAAGCTAACCCTTTCTGAATAACCAAAACAAAATGCAAAGCACAGATAAGGCTGATGGCACTGGCAGAAAATTCTGACCTTTACTTGGCTTGCTATCATATTGTGGTTTATAACTTAAATCCTTCACAAATCAATGACATTCAACTGACCGTCGGACATTACGATTCTGCTAACATGGCTAAAACATCAATGTTTCTCAATAACAAGAATTCAATTTGGTATCTACTTTTGATACATTTCTCCATACCTGTGCCAAAATTCGACTTCAATACCTCAACACAAGCACATAAACGAAGACTACTGCAGTAACTATTATAGTCACTCACCCATTGATCATACTGAGCAGCCCCTCCATCAGGTGGGCCAGGTAAGAGATCTGGGCGTTCTCATCTGGGAATACAGGCCCGTGCATGGAGGCCAGCTGGGCCAAGCACTGAAGGGAATCCTGGGCCATGTCAGAGTCCTCTCGAATCTTCCTGTGTACCTGAACAAGAGGAGAATTTCTTTTTATCATTGTTTTTAAAGTAGAAAAGCAGAGCCTTCGCATAAAAAGGACAGAACCTCTACAATAATCAGTCCACAATGAAGCAGTGAGTGCTCTGGATAATGAAGTACTCCTGTACAGCAAACGTACGGAAAACTGCTGAACACCGTCTGTCAGCTTTAACAATTTAGTGAAGAAGAAAAGATGATCTTTTTCATCAGTCTTCATCAGCCAAAAGGAAACAAAAGTTTCTTTTGGACTACACATGATCAAATATTAATATAACCTAGAGAACAACAATCTTGAGCAGCGCTTGAACACACTTGACCTGCCCATATGGAAAAGAAATAGAAAAAACTTATAAAAGCCTTGCATCAGATGTGGACTACTTCATATAGTGACTCATAGAAGGCTTATATGATTTACTCATGAAAGTGGCCACTTTCATATATTGTTTTAGGAAGTGTCCAAAACATACAAGTTTCATTTATATAATTTTCTAGGGATCTTATATCTGTTTTCACTCTTGTATGCTTTTCATACAAGTTTCACACAAGACAGATACAAACTTTATAAGCTTTATATAAATCTTTTCAAAAATGGGTGTGCTCGGCAAAACCTATTAGTCTGATTTTCTCTTTCTTTTAACTTAGGAATGATATTCCAATTATTCAAAAGTATGGAAGCCCGTTTCCGCCACAAAAAAAAAAAAAAAAAAAGCTAGTATCCATAACTCGAAATTTCGAGTTACTTTTCTCAAAATTTCGAGTTAGCTCTGCCAATCAAAAATATACGTGAATGAGGTCGCTTTCTTGTTACCCGGAAGCATATGGCGCAGGACCGCGCACTCAAAAACGGATCCCAACAAATTAAAGTATGTTTGCTGATAGTAACACCATGTGATTCAGCTAATAACACAGGGATTTCATCATTTGTGAAGCCAGGCTGAAAACACTCAGCAATCTGTGCATTCACGACTGGATGTAATACCGGTAGCTTAGCTGTAGCATTTGTAGCTGAGGGCTTCAGCTTCCGGGTAACATGGAAATGACGTCATTCACGTAGATTACTGATTGGCAGCGCTAACTCGAAATTTCGAGTTGCTTTTCTCAAAATTTTGAGTTAATATGTCGAAATTTCGAGAAAATAACTCGAAATTTTGAGTTATGGATCCTTTTTTTTTTTTTTTGTGGCGGAAACGGGCTTCCATACAAAAGTCATTGCAAATTACTGTGAAATTATTTTTCACCAATATTATTTATTTAAATTATTATTATTATGTTCATCGTCAGAACTTTCTGGCAGGTTCAAGAACAAAAGCCCACGATAAGTGTCTGACCAGTAAAATGTAGTCTGTTCCTAATAACAAACATGACCAACCATCCCAGGCGAGATTGTTGTGGCACAACCAAGTGACCTGTAAATATACTGACCTGTAATATTTTCATAAAAGACAAGCAACACGCAGCATTCATGAATACTTAGACCGACCGTTCACATCCTCTATGGACCATTTTCTTAGATATTTTTTAATGACAGCACTATTGACAATATGTCTTACCCATCAGAAGTTTAATGATAATGATTTCTGAAATAATATCTAATCAATGTGTGACTGTTATGTCATAATTAAACACTGCCCGTGGCATTCTGCATTTTAATAAGTTTTTATTCTTAAAATTAAACTGCAATGTAACAAACACCACTTTGAAATAGAAATGTCTCAGGTTAAGAATAAAAAGGTGAACCTGCCTCATCCTCCTGTCCCCAAAAGCGAAAAAACAAAACAAAAACCATACCAGCTGATAACCTGCAGGATTTATACTCACTGGTGTAATCCCACTACACAGCACACTGAAGCGTCGTGAAATGGCGAATTGATTGTGATCTGTCACTGTGACCCAGGTCTCAAACAAACAATGGCTGAGCAGCCTCAATCAAAATAGAAGAGGAAGAAACAGACTCCTGATGGGGGAGAAAAACAGCGAAAACTAAACTGGATGATTCCGTCTCAGTTGCGAGCTTCCATTCAGTTGTGGGATTCGAGGGTTGGTTTGTTGTTTAAGGTCACACTTCAGCAAGAGAAATAGCATTATTGGATTTGACTGTGCATGCAGACAGGCAAGTGTATGGCAAAGCAGCAGCAGTAAAAGCTCTGAAAGTCATCACAGCCTCTCAGCAACATGTGTTTCCACTATGTGCACGTCTGGAGCTCAAATTCCTTCTTCCTGTGCGCTGTGGCTCTCTTCTCAGCCGGTCCGGACTCTTTTCCTTTTTCTTCTTCTTCTCCGGTCTCCTCAACTGTCATCCTCTTAAATCCAGAGAGAGTGCTCCTTCATCAACTCCACACTCTTAAACCAACACATGGCCCCATCGCTGAGGCAATCAAACTTTCAACCTCCCTCTCTCCTTTTGCTGGTGCTTCCTCCTCCTCCCCTCAAATGTTCTCCCCTCTTGCTTCCCCCCTAAATTCTTTATCGCCCCTTCTCCCCGCTCTTCCTCTCTTCTCTTCCCTACAGCTGTGGTGTCCGTTTTGTCATAAGCCGCGCTGCTGGGAAGAGATCTCAGATGCTAACGTAGCATAACGTTAGTCCTCTCCGTCGCTGCCCTCTTCCAGAGCATGAAGTCATCCTCTGGAAGAGCTCAGCGAGAGGACAGGGGAGGAGGCGAGAGGGGCAACTGGTGAGTGAGCGAGAGAGAAAGAGGGAGGGGTGTAAGAGGCAGACCCAAGCGAGACCCAAGGACTGAACAGCGCGAGCTCTGAAAAAGCAGCTGCACCAGCGAGTGAACCATGCGATGTCAGTAATGTCAGTCGCCTCGACTCTGACTATAAGTAGAGATACTCAGCGAGCACGTGCGAGTGAGTGTGTCCGGGGGGAGTGGATGAAAGCAAGGAGAGCTTTCTGGCACAGGTGATTTTCTTTATTTTGAGGAATATAAAAAACACCCCTTATCAGTATATTAGGGATAGCTCGCTATTTAAACGAATCTTAGCCAGTTTAATAGAAACTCTATTCCAAAACAAAAGATCTTCTTTCAAAAGGTTGTAAAGTTCAGTTTGTTCACATCATTTTAAATGGGAACAGGCTATATAATAAACTGATAATCAACCTCCATCCTCCTGAATTTCTGTGGATCCAGCATTTGGCATCTTCTGTTAGTGAGTTCTCATTCCAATTTAATAAGCTCCAAGGCTACGAGAATCTGTTATTGAAGCATCGCATCCCTCCTTGCTCCGTCTTTGTCCTTTAACTTCAAATCGTGTTTAAAAGAAAATGAAAACATTCCAGGGAGGTAAACCGGGCAAACGAAGCAGAGATAAGCAAAGATTTGATTTGTTGTGGCCAAAATCCCCCGGCACCCCCATACTTCAATAAACTGAATTGGAATTGGCCATGATTTGGATTGTGTTAACAATCCAATTCAGGGTAACAGATTTATGGTTCACGACTCACAAATCAAACCAGAAAAAAGAAAGAAAGAAATGCGCTCCTGACACCTTTGGCCTTGAAATATGCAGATTCCTCCTCTGAAAACTGCTCTTTTGCCATTTGTCTGTAGCTGGGGACCCAGCTCTCATTGCTAATAATGGTCCTCGACATGAAAGCGGGGTCATTTTGACAAAGAACTTTGTGCCTGATGCATTTTCAGGTCTATTTTAAATTTGCAGACTGGAAGTACAAAAAGAAATTGACTTTTAAGGAGCACTAATACAGTCCAGAGGTAGACAAGGAGACGACCCTCAAGGGACTATTAGACAAATTTAAATCAGGTATCATTTTTATACTCAGCTTTAGAAAACTACTTTATGTTACGAAATGGGAGGGTGTAATATCGGTGCGCTGACAAACACTAGTAATCCTTGATTATTCCATCACAAATTAAGCACATAAAACATCTCAAGTTGATTCAAAGTCTTGAACTTTGTTTGGTTGTTTTTCCAACACTCTGACGCCCAAAGAGTGATGGCCTCTGCATGTGAAAGAGGCCATCACTACACTGAAAAACAAAATAAACCTGTCTTAGCAAAAACTTTGGAGGGGCAAATCAATCTGGCAGATATCTTAAAAATTTGATGTTCACTGATCAACTCGCCAACATAAAAAGGCCTTAAAAAAGACCATAGAAGACAACTATAGGAGATGATTGCAAATTCACTGTTAAAATATGTTGTTATATAAAGCCTGTTGCTGATCACTAGCACGACTGGTTTCTAGATTTATCAAATATGAAATCCTGACTGCAATACTCCCTGTTGTGGAGATTATCATTGATACACTGAAGTTCAAATGTATTTACTACTACATATTTTGACAAGGCACCAAACCTCGACTTTCATTAGAGCAGCTCTCATTAGATTAAACAGGATTCCAACTCCAAAACACACGCTTTTCAGTGTATATCAAAGTACCAAGCTTCAACACCTGACACTATCGTAGATAAATTATGTAGCCAGGCAGAGAAGAAAGAGTGGTAGAGTGGGGTGAGGAAGACGAGAACCAGCAAAGAGAAAAAAAATGAAAGAAAAGGACAGGTAGACAAGACGGGGAGAGGATGCAGACGAAGAGCAAAAGAACAGACAAAGAAAAGGAGTGGGAGAAAGGGAAAGGCAGGGAGAAATGAGGAATGGTATTTATAGAAGGAGACAAAGCCTGGTGTCTGTTACCTCAGGGGGCTCAGAGGCTCATCTTTCTGTTTTTTCAAATCAACACAGTGCTCCCAACTTATTGTCTTCGCTCGCTCTTTTCCACCATCACTCTCTCTTCCTCCATGTCTCAGATTGGGTTACTGTCTGCCCGCAGGCCTCTGCTGCAGCCTCATTAGTCCCTGCACTCCACACTGATTGTGTTTACTGGTAAACATGTAATGCTTTAGCGCATGCAGGCTTTTTTCTAGTTGGCATGTAAACGCAATTTCATATCCCAGTAATCTACATCATAATATAGTACATTTTATATAACTTAAGAAACAATAGACAGTAATTATAATTCGTTTTCGCT